CAGAGACACAGGCCCAGTCACACAGAGACAGGGAAACACACACACATGCATGAGCACGAACGCACCAACCGAGTCACACACGGACTGTGCACACACACACACACACACACACACACACACCCTCAGCTCCAGTCACACACCACAACACTGGTCCTCCCAGTACATCCCATCACACCACTGATCCTCCCAGTACATCCCATCACACCACAACACTGGTCCTCCCAGTACATCCCATCACACCACTGATCCTCCCAGTACATCCCATCACACCACAACACTGGTCCTCCCAGTACATCCCATCACACCACTGATCCTCCCAGTACATCCCATCACACCACAACACTGGTCCTCCCAGTACATCCCATCACACCACTGATCCTCCCAGTACATCCCATCACACCACTGATCCTCCCAGTACATCCCATCACACCACAACACTGGTCCTCCCAGTACATCCCATCACACCACAACACTGGTCCTCCCGGTACATCCCATCACACCACAACACTGGTCCTCCCGGTACATCCCACCACACCACTGATCCTCCCGGTACATCCCATCCCACCACAACACTGGTCCTCCCGGTACATCCCACCACACCACAACACTGGTCCTCCCAGTACATCCCACCACACCACACCACTGGTCCTCCCAGTACATCCCATCACACCACAACACTGGTCCTCCCAGTACATCCCACCACACCACTGGTCCTCCCAGTACATCCCACCACACCACTGGTCCTCCCAGTACATCCCACCACACCACTGGTCCTCCCGGTACATCCCACCACACCACTGGTCCTCCCAGTACATCCCACCACACCACTGGTCCTCCCAGTACATCCCACCACACCACTGGTCCTCCCGGTACATCCCATCCCACCACAACACTGGTCCTCCCAGTACATCCCATCACACCACAACACTGGTCCTCCCAGTACATCCCACCACACCACACCACTGGTCCTCCCAGACCAGACCAGACCAGACCGACAGACAGACAGGCCCTGTTACCAGACAGACAGACATACACTAATCCTGTCAATGTATAGCTAGTAAGCCTCATGCTGTCATCACCATGCTTTAAAAGAGGGAAAAAACATCACACAAGAAAGCTGTGGATTACAACGGGTTATGTTATGATGACATGACATCCAGTAAGCAAGAACAGTGTCAACCTAATAAATCTAATCAAACTTGTCTGGAACGATCTCTAGGAATCACTATGAAAGCAAGTTTTCTAGTAACTACTAGATTCTAACTAGGCCTAGTGCAAGATTAACGACATCACTACCAGCATGCATAAGAAATATGAAAATCAGGCCTAACCCTCTGTTCCCCTGACGAGAATCAGGCCTAACCCTCTGTTCCCCTGACGAGAATCAGGCCTAACCCTCTGTTCCCCTGACGAGAATCAGGCCTAACCCTCTGTTCCCCTGACGAGAATCAGGCCTAACCCTCTGTTCCCCTGACGAGAATCAGGCCTAACCCTCTGTTCCCCTGACGAGAATCAGGCCTAACCCTCTGTTCCCCTGACGAGAATCAGGCCTAACCCTCTGTTCCCCTGACGAGAATCAGGCCTAACCCTCTGTTCCCCTGACGAGAATCAGGCCTAACCCTCTGTTCCCCTGACGAGAATCAGGCCTAACCCTCTGTTCCCCTGACGAGAATCAGGCCTAACCCTCTGTTCCCCTAACGAGAATCAGGCCTAACCCTCTGTTCCCCTGACGAGAATCAGGCCTAACCCTCTGTTCCCCTGACGAGAATCAGGCCTAAGCCTCTGTTTCCCCTGACGAGAATCAGGCCTAACCCTCTGTTCCCCTGACGAGAATCAGGCCTAACCCTCTGTTCCCCTGACGAGAATCAGGCCTAACCCTCTGTTCCACTGACAAGAATCAACTGAGTACCTGTGCATATGTCTTAGTACTGTATATCCGTGCCCCCAGCATTAAAATGGACATAATCTGCTACAGTCCCGACCCTCTCAGGTTGGCAACCAGTACATAAACACCTTCAATTGTCATTTACAACACTGCAGCAACTGAAAGAGTACATTAGGACTTCAAAAGAAGGTTGATTTCCAGAATAATGAAACACACGATGTGAACTCCCATTTGGCCTGTCATGTGACCAGACCCTATCAGGGGCCCAGATCAAAACCAAGCAGAAGACTGTTTCCCCAAACTGCACCCTGTTCCCTATATCTAGTGAACTACTTTTGACGCTAGCCAGAAGTATTGCACTCTGTAGGGGATAGGGTGGCGTTTGAGAGACAACAGAAGGATCCCATCCGCCACCTCAGGTGAATAATATGGGCCATTCCGGGTCCTGAGAGGGGTTGAGTCCCAAACAGCACCCTGTTCCCTACATGGTGCACTACTGTTGACCAAGGCCCACAAGGATCTGTAGGGACTAGGGTGCCATTTGGCTCTGGTCTAAAGTAGTGCACTATATAGGGAATAGGGTGCCATTTGGCTCTGGTCTAAAGTAGTGCACTATATAGGGAATAGGGTGCCATTTGGCTCTGGTCTAAAGTAGTGCACTATATAGGGAATAGGGTGCCATTCTCTGGTCTAAAGTAGTGCACTATATAGGGACTAGGGTGCCATTCTCTGGTCTAAAGTAGTGCACTACATAGGGAATAGGGTGCCATTCTCTGGTCTAAAGTAGTGCACTATATAGGGAATAGGGTGCCATTCTCTGGTCTAAAGTAGTGCACTATATAGGGAATAGGGTGCCATTCTCTGGTCTAAAGTAGTGCACTACATAGGGAATAGGGTGCCATTCTCTGGTCTAAAGTAGTGCACTATATAGGGAATAGGGTGCCGTTTGGGATGCTGACAGGGGGAACTAAACTAGAGAGAGGCAACTCCATCGCTAAACTGACGAAAGTTGAAATGTATCTGTTGATTATGGACCATCAAAAGTCAAACTACATTTCCAATCTTCCCTCACAGCCCCACGGCAGGATACAGTCTGGATACAGTCTGCCAGGGGGATACAGTCTGCCAGGGGGATACAGTCTGCCAGGGGATACAGTCTGCCAGGGGGATACAGTCTGCCAGGGGGATACAGTCTGCCAGGGGGATACAGTCTGGATACAGTCTGCCAGGGGGATACAGTCTGCCAGGGGATACAGTCTGCCAGGGGGATACAGTCTGGATACAGTCTGCCAGGGGGATACAGTCTGCCAGGGGGATACAGTCTGCCAGGGGGATACAGTCTGTCAGGGGATACAGTCTGCCAGGGGGATACAGTCTGCCAGGGGGATACAGTCTGCCAGGGGGATACAGTCTGCCAGGGGGATACAGTCTGCCAGGGGGATACAGTCTGCCAGGGGATACAGTCTGCCAGGGGGATACAGTCTGCCAGGGGGATACAGTCTGCCAGGGGGATACAGTCTGGATACAGTCTGCCAGGGGGATACAGTCTGGATACAGTCTGCCAGGGGATACAGTCTGGATACAGTCTGCCAGGGGATACAGTCTGCCAGGGGATACAGTCTGGATACAGTCTGCCAGGGGGATACAGTCTGCCAGGGGATACAGTCTGCCAGGGGATACAGTCTGCCAGGGGGATACAGTCTGGATACAGTCTGCCAGGGGGATACAGTCTGGATACAGTCTGCCAGGGGGTTACAGTCTGGATACAGTCTGCCAGGGGATACAGTCTGGATACAGTCTGCCAGGGGGATACAGTCTGGATACAGTCTGCCAGGGGGATACAGTCTGCCAGGGGATACAGTCTGCCAGGGGGATACAGTCTGCCAGGGGATACAGTCTGCCAGGGGATACAGTCTGCCAGGGGATACAGTCTGGATACAGTCTGCCAGGGGGATACAGTCTGGATACAGTCTGCCAGGGGGATACAGTCTGGATACAGTCTGCCAGGGGGATACAGTCTGGATACAGTCTGCCAGGGGGATACAGTCTGCCAGGGGGATACAGTCTGCCAGGGGGATACAGTCTGTCAGGGGGATACAGTCTGCCAGGGGGATACAGTCTGCCAGGGGGATACAGTCTGGATACAGTCTGCCAGGGGGATACAGTCTGTCAGGGGGATACAGTCTGCCAGGGGGATACAGTCTGGATACAGTCTGCCAGGGGATACAGTCTGCCAGGGGATACAGTCTGCCAGGGGATACAGTCTGCCAGGGGATACAGTCTGCCAGGGGGATACAGTCTGCCAGGGGGATACAGTCTGGATACAGTCTGCCAGGGGGATACAGTCTGCCAGGGGGATACAGTCTGCCAGGGGATTACAGTCTGGATTACAGTCTGCCAGGGGGATACAGTTCTGGATACAGTCTGCCAGGGGGATACAATCTGCCAGGGGGATACAGTCTGCCAGGGGGATACAGTCTGCCAGGGGGATACAGTCTGCCAGGGGATACAGTCTGCCAGGGGGATACAGTCTGCCAGGGGGATACAGTCTGGATACAGTCTGCCAGGGGGATACCAGTCTGGATACGTCTGCCAGGGGGATACAGTCTGCCAGGGGGATACAGTCTGCCAGGGGGATACAGTCTGGATACAGTCTGCCAGGGGATACAGTCTGCCAGGGGGATACAGTCTGGATACAGTCTGCCAGGGGGATACAGTCTGCCAGGGGGATACAGTCTGGATACAGTCTGCCAGGGGGATACAGTCTGGATACAGTCTGCCAGGGGGATACAGTCTGCCAGGGGGATACAGTCTGGATACAGTCTGCCAGGGGGATACAGTCTGCCAGGGGATACAGTCTGCCAGGGGGATACAGTCTGCCAGGGGGATACAGTCTGCCAGGGGATACAGTCAGGATCAGGAACTCAGAGGATTGAAAAAGAGGAACTAAAAACATAAAGACAAAGTTGAACAAAATGGCATCTATTATAATCCCTGCTGAACATCTACATAATATCTGACAGATATTCTACGTCTCAAATCAATCCATTGCTGGTGACCACACCAAGCTCACAGACACACACACCTGAATGAAAACCTAAAACAGCCATCTTACCTGTGTGTAGTCAACGTCCGAGAGAGGAGCTATGCTTTTGATGTACTCGATTCTGAACTGGTCTTCAGGGTTGGCTAGAGTGACCGGGGGTATCAAGGTGCTCATCACTGACACTATAGTCTACAAAGAGGAGGGGAGAAACACACCCAGCGCCGTTAAGCTGGATAAATACAGGCTAAATACAGGCTAAATGAGATCATAAGCTTATCTAAATCAGGGAAATAGGATTGGGGTGTCCAATCTAACCCTGAGGTTGCATCCCAAACGGCTCCCTATTCCCAATGTAGGGCCCTGGACTACGGTCAAAAGCATTGAACTACACAAGGAATAGGGTGTCGTTTGGCTCTGTGCCATTTGGCTCTCCTTTCGGTTACTGGCCCCAGGTTAAGAGGGTCCCAGGTTAAGAGGGCCCCAGGTTAAGAGGGCCCCAGGTGGTCCTCTGTAGCTCAATTGGTAGAGCATGGCGCTTGTAACGCCAGGGTAGTGGGTTTGATCCCCGGGACCACCCATACGTAAAAATGTATGCACACATGACTAAGTGGCTTTGGATAAAAGCGTCTGCTAAATGGCATATTATAATTATTAAGAGGGCCACAGGTTAAGAGGGCACCGGGTTAAGAGCGTTGGGCCAGTAACCGAAAGCTCCCTGGTTTGAATCCCTGAGCCAACTAGGTGAAAAATCTGTTGATGTGCCGTTGAGCAAGGCACTTAACCCGAATTGCTCCTGTAAGTCGCTCTGGATAAGAGCGTCTGCAAAATGACTAAAATGTCAAATGTAAATGTCAAAAGTAGTGCACGGTACATGGTAGGGCATAGGGTGCCATTTGGGACTCAGACAGAGTAAACCACTAGTTTAATTAAAAACAGGAAAGACACAGATTAATACTATCCTACTCACCACGATGGCATCCTTCACGTTTTTCCGAATATCTTGTATTTTCTGTTTCTTTTCTCTGTCAAAGGAGGACAGAACTCAGCCATGAGGAGACAATAACCAACAACATCACAATAGTCCTCGTCCAAGGACCTAAAGATCCCACTATGAAGGCAGCATAGATCCACTCCAGTTCTCGGCCCGGACGTTAACACACTAGAGCCGGTATGTGTTCAGGCCAGGCAGGCAGAAAGATATCCCTACCAGTACAATCGTAGGCCTATGCAACTCACAGACATAGGCCACTGTTCTATCACATGCACAGAAGGCCTTGCAGCAAAATACATTATCCATAGACCTATCTCCAATAATAGCCGATATAGCAATGACATACATAACAGTAAACAATGTGACTTCAGTAACAACAGGCAGTCAGGGAGATCTCATGTAACAACAGGCAGTCAGGGAGATCTCATGTAACAACAGGCAGTCAGGGAGATCTCATGTAACAACAGGCAGTCAGGGAGATCTCATGTAACAACAGGCAGTCAGGGAGATCTCATGTAACAACAGGCAGTCAGGGAGATCTCATGTAACAACAGGCAGTCAGGGAGATCTCATGTAATAACAGGCAGTCAGGGAGATCTCAAGTCTCAAGTACTGAAGCCTATATAGCCTATATTGGTGTCTGCTGTGAGCAGGGAGAGAGAGAGAGAGAGAGAGAGAGAGAGAGAGAGAGAGAGATCAGTGCTGCTGCTGGAGCTAGTCGTCTGGCTGTCCATAGTGTGTTGGTCACTGATAGACAGGGCCTGGGCGCTGCAGTGCCCGAGGAAAATCCATTCAGTTCTATACAGCCTATTATCTTATTTAGAGTTTCCCTGCCTTGAGTATAACCAAATACGTTATGAAATAGGTATATATATATATATGTATATCTGGGCCTATATGTCAAATGGAGATGCAGTCGGGCCTGTAACAACAGTGGATTCGTGTACTCACTCTGCATTAAAACCATTGACGTGTAGAATCCTCATCTGCTTCACAATAGTACTTTTCCCGGACTCTCCAGCACCTTCGAATCGAAGCACAAGGACAGAATGTTACAATGTGTTGCTGATAACCGAACGATAAGGTTTTAATCTTGTGACGGTTCAAAATGAATAAGAATGTTGTCAAAATGAAGCAAATTGCTAGGCTTCGCTTCCATCAACATCCACCCCCCCCCCATGACATATAGCGAGAGCTTTCAAATACGTAATGGGGTAATTTAATGAAGGATATTTTAGATCCCACAGTGTTCGGGCCAAGCCGTGTATAAAACCTTACCCAATAATAACAGCCTGTGTGTCGCTTTATAAGCTTGTCTTTCTTTTTGCAACTGTCTCTCGATTTTTTTATTCGCCTCTCGCTGTGCCTTTTCGTCGAGGCGTTGATCTTCAGTCTTGCTGTTGCCCAAACAACCCATATCTTCCGTTAACTTAACTCGTCTATCGAAAATATGAAATAATACACTAAGATGTTATAAATCATCAATTTTTTTTTAAAACAATGGTGCGAAAGAAAATCTGTGCGACGCTTCTCCGCCGTTGGGAGGGCTATGTTCTTCCTCCCCGCTACGATTCCGTTTTAGCCGCAACCAACAGGACCTTCCTTCGGCATCCGAGTCATCCAAACAGATTCTTGATTCGCCCCTCCAAAATCCCTCGAATCGTTGAAATAACAGAGAAATACACAAGACAACGAAGGTTTTTGATTTCTGGAAACAGGCCAAGTGTTGCTCTCGTTCCTTCCCTCTTCTCAATATTTTTCTATCCAAATGTCTATTCGGTGTCTTTAACTCAGCACTGCCTCTCTCTGTTGTACCAGGAAGTAGCCGTGAACCGAGCCACAGAAAAACCTTCCTTCGCTACAATGTAACAACGCTGCTGCTCGCTCACACACACCTACAATCCGCTCACATATCATTGTATAATTTCTGTGAGAAGGGTAGGAGGGCCATTACAATCCCATTTGTCACCCAAGACCTTCCAGCGGATAGTTTATCAGCCCTAAAAACGAAGAGCGGGGAGAGAGGATCCGCCTGCACCAGACAGGCTTGGCAGGAGGTTTGGGTCTTTCTATCGACCGAGAGTCAGCTAGATCGAGTCCGTTGGGGTGGCCCTGACCTCGGGAGTAGCTTGTCAATCGTAACCTACAAACTAAGTAATATCCCACTTTAACACAGGCCTACACACACACACACAGCTTATCAGTGCTCTGCACTAGAAAGGCCTAAACCACCCCTAAAAAAAAAAACAAGTCAAAAGTTGACAACTGTACAAAAAGACCGTCTGAAAACCCCAAAACAAAAGTACAACCAAAAATAGATATTTTCTAGCTAGCCCTTCCCAAAACCAAGTGTTGCCCCTCTGCTGCCAGCCCCTATCACGACTTTCCTTTGCACCCACGGCTCAGCCTGCCTCTGTAGTCCACTCCTGTTGTCGTCACATTCTCCACGCTATTCTACTTCTATTGTGCGCGTGTGCGACAAAAGCATTGGCGAGCACCCGTGGGAAAAACCGGCTTCACGGCACCGCGGTAATTCTCCGCACTGGCGCGCAACTGCCAGTTCAGCCCTTGTCCTAGGAGGGCCGGGGTATGTACAGTCAATAGGCTACTGCGCATATTCACAGACCTTTACTGTACGGCCTGTTTTAAATGGCTGCGTCGGGCGGCCTGATAGATGGTGTACGTTTGTTTTTAGTAGGTTTCCATTTTAAATAGACGTTATATTGTATCTCAGAATAAAGAATACGTCCACGATATGTAATTTTTACTACTGTAGCAATGGATAATAGCAAATATCCGACAGACAGGCACAGAAAATAATCAAATAGAATAATCCTAAAACCTCTGTCTACATCCACCCCTATTACTAGATCTGCCACTAAGTCTGTTTCCCCTCAAGGTTTCTTCCTTAGGGAGTTTCCCCCTATGTTCCCCATGGCGCTGCTGTTCGCTCTTTTTGGAGCCTGGGTAACTGTGAAGCACTTTGTGACAACTGTTTTTGTGAGAAAAAAAAAAAAGCTAAATATAAATAACATTTGACTGATTCATTCAATTGATTGAAGTATTGACATTTTCTATAAATAGAGTGTATATTCATATAACATTTGAAATGTCTGTTATTCATTGTATTTTCTCAACGCCTGTTCAGATTTTAAACTATGGAAGCACTACTACTCCGATGGAACTAGATTGAAGTCAACAGAATGTCCAGGGTCTCCTCATCTTCACTGTTACTACAACTCCTCTGAAGTCAATGAGACCAGACCACTGTCAGTGTCCACAACTCCTCTCGATCCTTGTGGCTGTGGTAAGTAGTGACAACCACTGTCAGTGTCCACAACTCCTCTCGATCCTTGTGGCTGTGGTAAGTAGTGACAACCCTGTCTGTGTCCACAACTCCTCTCGATCCTTGTGGCTGTGGTAAGTAGTGACAACCCTGTCAGTGTCCACAACTCCTCTCGATCCTTGTGGCTGTGGTAAGTAGTGACAACACTGTCTGAGTCCATGGATATTTGAACCATCTCAAATCAAATCAAACTTTATTTGTCACACGCGCCGAATACAACAGGTGTAGACCTTACCGGAAATGCTTACTTACAAGCCCTTAACCAACAATGCAGTTCAAGAAAGAGTTAAGAAAATATTTACCAAATAAACGAAATAAAAAAATTATAAAAAGTAACACATAATAATATAATAATATGCCATTTAGCAGACGCTTTTATCCAAAGCGACTTACAGTCATGCGTGCATAAATGTTTTTGTGTATGGGTGGTCCCGGGGTTCGAACGAGGCTATATACAGGGGGTACCGGTACCAAGTCAATTTGCGGGGGTACAGGTTAGTCAAGGTAATTTGTACATGTAGGTAGGTTTTTTAAATCTTTTTTTTTTTATGTTTAAAATGCATAGATGATAGACAGCGGGTAGCAGCAGTATAAAAACTACCCTCTGTAGTGCCTTGCGGTCAGAGGCCGAGCAGTCGCCATACCAGGCGGTGATGCAACCGGTCAGGATGCTCTCGATGGTGCAGCTGTATAACGTTTTGAGGATCTGGGGACCCATGCCAAATCTTTTCAGTCTCCTGAGGGGGAAAGGTGTTGTCGTGCCCTCTTCACGACTGTCTTGGTGTGTTTGGACCATGATAGTTTGTTGGTGATGTGGACACCAAGGAACTTGAAGCTCTCGACCCGCTCCACTACAGCCCCGTCGATGTTAAATGGGGGCCTGTTCGGCCCTCCTTTTCCTGTAGTCCACGATCAGCTCCTTTGTCTTGCTCACATTGAGGGAGAGGTTGTTGTCCTGGCACCACACTGCCAGGTCTCTGACCTCCTCCCTATAGGCTGTCTCATCGTTGTCGGTGATCAGGCCTACCACCGTTGTGTTGTCGGCAAACTTAATGATGGTGTTGGAGTCATGTTTGGCCATGCAGTCATGGGTGAACAGGGAGTACAGGAGGGGACTAAGAACGCACCCCTGAGGGGCCCCAGTGTTGAGGATAAGCATGGCAGACATGTTGTTGCCTACCCTTACCACCTGGGGGTGGCCCGTCAGGAAGTCCAGGATCCAGTTGCAGAGGGAGGTGTTTAGTCCCAGGGTCCTTAGCTTAGTGATGAGCTTTGTGGGCACTATGGTGTTGAACGCTGAGCTGTAGTCAATGAACAGCATTCTCACATAGGTGTTCCTTTTGTCCAGGTGGGAAAGGGCAGTGTGGAGTGCGATTGAGATTGTGTCATCTGTGCATCTGTTGGGGCGGTATGCGAATTGGAGTGGGTCTAGGGTTTCCGGGATGATGGTGTTGATGTGAGCCATGACCAGGTGTTGATGTGAGCCATGACCAGCCTTTCAAAGCACTTCATGGCTACAGACGTGAGTGCTATGGGCGGGAATAATTTAGACAGGTTACCTTAGTGTTCTTGGGCACAGGGACTATGGTGGTCTGCTTGAAACATGTAGGTATTACAGACTCGGTCAGGGAGAGGTTGAAAATGTCAGTGAAGACACTTGCCAGTTGGTCCGCACATGCTCTGAGTACACGTCCTGGTAATCCGTCTGGCCCCGCAGCTTTGTGAATGTTGACCTGTTTAAAGGTCTTGCTCATATCGGCTACCGAGAGCGTTATCACACAGTCGTCCGGAACAGCTGGTGCTCTCATGCATGCTTCAGTGTTGCTTGCCTCGAAGCGAGCATAAAAAAGGCACTTAGCTCATCTGGTAGGCTCGCGTCACTGGGCAGCTCGCGGCTGGGTTTCCCTTTGTAGTCCGTAATAGTTTTCAAGCCCTGCCACATCCGACGAGCGTCAGAGCCGGTGTAGTAGGACTCAATCTTAATCCTGTATTGACGCTTTGCCTGTTTGATGTTTCGTCTGAGGGCGTAGCAGGATTTCTTATAAGCGTCCGGATTAGTGTCCCGCTCCTTGAAAGCGGCAGCTCTAGCCTTTAGCTCGATGCAGATGTTTCCTGTAATCCATAGCTTCTGGTTGGGATATGTACGTACGGTCACTGTGGGGCCGATGTCGTCGATGCACTTATTGATGAAGCTGGTGACTGAGGTGGTGTACTCGTCAATGCCATTGGATGAATCCTGGAACATATTCCAGTCTGTGCTAGCAAAACAGTCCTGTAGCGTAGCATCCACATCATCTGAACACTTCCGTATTGAGCGAGTCACTGGTACTTTCTGCTTTATTTTTTTGCTTGTAAGCAGGAAGCAGGAGGATAGAATTATGGTCAGATTTGCCAAATGGAGGGCGAGGGAGAGCTTTGTACGCGTCTCTGTGTGTGGAGTAAAGGTGGTCTAGAGTTTTTTTTCCTCTGGTTGCACATTTAACATGCTGGTAGAAATGAGGTAAAACGGATTTGGTCATCTGATAGTCATAACAATAATAACTATGTTTTTAGAATAGGCATTATGAAAATTAAATGCTAATGTTATTTGTTAAAAGGGAGATGAGTGGTGGTGCCTAGCTTGGATCTACCGCATGTAAACCCAGACTGGCCCATTCAGTCCATCCATAACCTGGTGTTGGTATTTTAACCCTGTCCCCCACCACAAAGGGCAAGGTAAACACAGTGAGTAGCCCCTAGCACCATCTAGTGGCTGTTATTGGTATAGCAGGCGTTGCAGATATGGTTTTGCAACTACTACTCCTGCAGCCCTGCCTTCTATGGTCGCCATTGGTCATAGAAGCTTGACTAGACTAGAGCGTTCACAGTTATAAGTAGTGTTGGGGAAGATACTCTGGAAATGTAGCTTACTAGCTTACAAGCTATTCTTTATTGGAATTATAGAAGATCCAGCCAACTATAGAGAGGAAGCAAACAGAAAGTACTGTAACTTCCTGGTGTGGTCTGTGTAGGCCTAATGAGTGTTCAGCTTTAAGTGTCAACAGCCACACCACATCAAACTGAAAGTGATA